GCGAAAATTGGTGGAATTAACTTTAGAAAATGTTATTGACGCTGTAGACCACAATCTGATTTTTATCTTTCCCTTTATCTTGGACACCTGTAAGTTGGACACATTTTCGTCGAACCCCAAGTGTCCAACTTAGAGAGGTTTTACTGTAATTGTGTGTGTAATTTATTGTCTTGGTACAAAGTTTTTTATTGAAGTTTATTTTCGTAGTGCAAATGTAACAAATGCCGAGAGTCCATTCAAGATAGAACAGAAGGATGCAGAAGATATCATTGCAAAGAGTCCACAACCTGGACTACCCCATCCTGTTGAGTCTATTGGTATGTATAAAAGAATGGGGAAGTAATTGAGCAATTGATGCTGACTTGTTGGGGAGCTAATATTTATGTTTTCTTTGCTATATCATGGCACCTCATTATTATTGTTCTCACACATTATGTGCTTGGTTGTGAAATTTGATGTTTGTTTTCCTTTCTTGGATTGTGACCTGTTGATTTTGGAGGTCTTAATCTGATCCTCCTTCAGTCTGCCTCATCCCTTATTGTTGCTTCTCATTATTCCCATAATTCTACTCTTGAATATCATTCCCAGATGGAACAAATCTTTTTCTTGGTTCGTGTTCCGGTACCACTGTTATACAAAGTGCTATTCCCCTTATCTGAACTGTAACAATAGAATATTTTATGCTTAGTAACGCATTGTACTTTGTTACTTTAATTATACTCTTCTTTTTTTTTTCAGTGGACAAATGGCATTACATTCATCTGAAGTAATTCCTGAGGATATTAGTATCTTCTAACTCAGATTTTTAAAGGGTAAAATGGACCATTTAGCATATATGATCAGTTAGAATGTATTCATATCATACTAACATCATTGTTGGCAGTTTTGTAAGAATCTGAACCAAAATATTTCATTTTCTTCTAGCTGCTTGCTTCAATTCATATGTAGGTGATATTTAAATCTTTATGTTGGACACTGTATGATGTAATTGTTGTAAAATGCCATGTGGAGTATGTGGTTACAGAACAAACTCATCTGAGATGAGTTTGTTGGGGTGCGAGATGGATTTGATAATGGAATAAATTAATTATTCATTTTTAATATGAGTTTATTACTCGGATGAGTTTGTTGTGGTGTGCGATGGATTGGATAATGAAATAAATTATTTATTTTTAAGTTTCTTGCCCCATAATTTTGTTGGAAGCCACACAAGTCCTGATTATTTTGTGAATAAAAAAGAATTCACTCTGCCCTTGTCTTGAATACCAATTTGGTTTTGTTGGGTGGCAGATTAGATGATATGATATTTGGGCAATACGTTTGTTTTTGTGTGTGAATTATTGCATTTTTATAATTGTGGTGTGGAGCGGTATTTTTCCCGAGTTACGTAAGTAGATCATTGTTAACGTTACCGATTGTACAAGGGAGGAAACGGAATGCGCTTCGTGCGTCTGCGTGAGCCATTGATTTTCTTAATTTTAGTTCAACTTTCCTCCGCCAGATGGAGTTTGGCCGTCACCTATTGAGGCTCATATGAAACATCTCGGTTGTTCCGCGTCTGTCAGTGTGCAGTGAATTTTGTTTTGGTGGTTGGTTTATTTCGAAAAGTGTGCAGTATTGTATAATAGCTCTGAAGAAGTAAACGTTGTACTTAAAAGGCAAGAATAAACATTTGTCTCTGTTCGTTCTTCGACAGTGGTTTACTGCAATTCGCAAATGAAAATCCTTTGGATTATTGTACTATTCGGCTTCCTGGCCGCGGCGGTGGAAGCAAAAAGAAAACGAAAATTCGAAGGCGATTTCGAGTTTGCTGAAGAGGTGAGTTCTGTCCGTATGTTATTGTAGTTGGATGAATCTTGTGTTCTTAAATTTCTTATTCGTGCTAGCAGGATTAAAATATTGTCAGGATTTGAATTCTGTTGCATGATTTATTCGGCCATTCTGCCAGTTTGCATTACAGTCAATGGGAAATGGTTTCAGTATAATTTTACAAATTATTTTATTTATATTACGTGATGCTGACATATTTTGTGGTTATTGCTAAGTCAGACTGAGACATTGTACTTAAATTGTAAATCTTTGTTGTTAAAGTTAATGCATGTCGACAGATAACACCATTGTATTAATTTTATTGCGCGACGTGTTTGGTTTCGAATCGTAGCTTGTACGATCGGCATTTATACTTTCACCTAACATACGTAGTTCGTGATTCAACCAGGTGGTTCTAGTTTCTGGATGCTGAGATCACTAACCGCATCTAATACACCGTATAAGTTCTGATGGTTGCCTATTTGGACAGTTTGATTTAAAATGCTGTTTGTGAATGCAAATTTTAGAAATGTAAAAGGTTTGGTAATGACTAGTGAACATTGTTAGGAGAGTCATGTTTTGAGACAGACTAGTACGGTTGGTCTGTGGTATTCTCTTTCTGGTGTTGTTTATGTTCTACGTACAGCAGAATAGGGTAGGGCTAGTCGTGACAGCCTGCCACAAGCAGTCGGGTGTCCAAAGTGGTTGTCACGTCAGGAATAAAACGCGCGTTGACTGGTGCTGGATATGACTACTGTTCCATTGTTCTGCTGTATCAGTCGGCAACAGCAGAAACAAATCGGTGAAACAGGCACAGTGGCACGTTTGCTTCATCAAAGTTTATTTTTTTTAATTTCATGGTTTATTGCTGACAACGTACTCTAGGCTGATCAGAGAATCTTGCGTACTTTTTAATAGAATGTTCCCATTTGTCCGTAAAATTTCCGGTTTACGTGAACTAATAAAAACCAGGGCATAATCGCTGATTGTTAGTTCTGCAAAATAACAGCAAAAAGGAAACGGGAACATCGCGCCAAAATACTCATAATTTTCAACAAAGAATGTGAAGGGTACATGTAAAAAAAGTACTTTTACAACATTGTTATAGGACTCAATGATTAAAAACCGCTAATATCAAGGTCCGCCTCTGGAACCGATCGCGAACCAGTTACATCTACCTTTTATTCTCACAAGTTGTTCCACTAAGATCCACCATAAAATTATCCTCCCATTGTCTTCTCTGTCGTCGAAGTGGACTTTTTTCCCCAGAAGTTTCCTGCCTAAATACTGTTTCCCCCATTCTAACCACATTCTAAGCCCGTCTTTCCACGTTACCCAGCCTTCTGTTAGTTTTTGTGAACAGCGTGTTTGTTATTCCCTCAGAGTATTAGGCTACAGTGTAAGCGTTGTCTAGTAGTGATTTAGTTTAACGAAATCGTGCAGTTGATGAACGTTTATGTATTAAGAGTGCTGATCAGCTGTTTCGCATTTTCAAATTCCTCCTCGTTGATCGTGTGGAAGTGACATCTTGCACTAATATTGTACTCCAAATGAACCCGCTTATCCATGTCTCTCGTTGGTGCTTTTCTTTGTGACGTGAATCAATAATAAACTGAGGAAAAAGTGATGCAGCAAACTAGGAAAACCTTTTCCACGTTTCTTGCAGCCACTCTGTTTGGGTTGGTCTATCATTTTTTTTATTATTTTTTGCTATGTATTATATCGGCCAGAGACATTGATCGATGTGGAGCCAGGCGTCGTGATAAGCAGCAACAAACATGTAGGGCTGGCCGCCATACAATGGAATTCCACTGCGAAACGAAACTCTAAGGCACCTTGATACCGAAATGCTTTTAGCGTGCAGTGGGCGAACTTTTGTGCAGAAGTAAGTGGGGGCCACGGTCTTGTAATTAGGGATAAGAATTATCTCACCACGTACACACAGCAGAGCTCGTATTGAGAAACCTATAGTCGCTCTGCTGATCACGAAATTCTCCGCTGTTCATGGAAACCGAATGGTCGTTGCCGTGTTCACAAGTCTGCCACTGCATTATATTCCGAGATAGTCCACACCCTCATATCCCATTTCAGTAGGGTGCATTTTAATGTTGTCGTCCCGTATCCAGTCAAGTTTTCGAATTAGAATATTTGTACATTTCTCATGGAGCCGGGTAGCTGTCAGTCAGTGACTGAACGGGCTGGACGATCCCCGACGGAGCCAGGGAATTTTCTTCCAGCCTCTACGTCCAGACCGGCGCTGGGTTCCACCCAGCCTCCTGTCCCCGGGGGTAAAGCACGGCCGGGGCGTGCAACTGACCGCTCACCCCATCTAGTGCCGAGATTGAGAATGAGTAGGAGCTATACCACCTCTCCCCCTGAGCGCCTACATGGCGCGTAGGGGGGATAGCTTTTATACATTTCTCATAACCTGCCAGTGAAACCAATTGGTTAATTTTCTGCACAATATTTGTAAATTCTTCCTTATTTTTTCCTGGTTAATACAAAACAATAAAGAAAGATTTTTTTCATTAAAGTAAAATTGGTTTAGTGGCGTGCTCCTGTCATTTGTTTAACTTTCGGTGTTTTACCTGTTGTATCCTTCGTACCGTGGTAATTTTGTCTCATTGGTTTGACAATTTGGATGTAGACAACACCTTCATTCATGGCGGCTGGTATTACTGCAAATGTGGGCAATGCTGAGGCAGTTCGCCTGTGTGAAGCACCAGGCAGGCCGACCGAACACAACTGGATTACATATTCTGTACACTCAGCCACCCTATTGTTTGATGTTGACAGGGAGTTTATTACGTCCATCATCTTCCTGTGTAAGACCCGGGCGGAGGGAAATGGTAATCGTTGTGTCCACGCCATTAGGCAACGGACTGCTCTGTGTGAACTGTACACACTTGTCCGTCCTCTGCGTAGGGACTGTGGTTACTGCAGCAAGTTGATTTTTCTACTTAATATACTTAAGAAAATAGCTGTTTGTACAGAAGACAGAGAGAGAGGAAATAGCAGAACGGAGAAAACTACGTAATGAGGAACATAGTAATTTGTACTGTTCGCCAAGGGGATATGAAAAATGCATACAAAATTTTGTCGAGAATATGAAGGAAGGAGGCAACTTTGGGGACCAGGGGTAGTTGGGAAGACAACATTAAAATATATCTTCAAGATATTTTGTTATAAGGGTTTTGGACCGAGTCATTTGGCTGAAGTGAACGCGGTAATAAATTATAGACTTCTGTATAATATGGAGAATTTATTTTTGATCAGCTGCGCTACTATTAACTTCTCAAGACTAATACCAGCCGTAGTTATATTAAGGGCATTTTACTGTCTGAATTTGTATTACTTTCTGAGTGCTTCTTGTTCATCAGTTTGCTTCACGGGCCTAAGTGTGAGTGTCAATTTCGTAAAGTGTGTGAGATGGTCGAGACTTGTTTGTCCATCATAATAGGCTTACCCATAGTCGCCCCACACTTGTCTCGGATTATTCTTTGTAAATACACTTACATGATTAAACTTGTGTTTGCAACGTGACTAATAATTTCATTTATCTTTTTCTCATGTTCGTTTGTATAACCTTCTGTAAAATGTGCCAGAGTAACTGAATGTAGTCTCCTCTAGTCTAAAGCGAACAAAATATTTACTTTAACACTTTAGTAGTAGGCCTGTCTTTTCTGTTTATTTTTTCTCCTAATACGTAATTGTCTCTCTCTTACCTGCTAGACGTTTCAGAATAAAGATAAGCGTATAACGTAAAGGGGTGAATTGCAGAATGGTATTTGCTAAAGTATGGCTCGAATATGTATTGATTCGTGACTAAAGTTTTCCAGAGACCATCCACCAACTTGTCGTGTAAGAAATTGAAATGAGGTCTGTGATTAACTTCAAATGGATTCTGAGAATGCTTGATGTTAATTCAGTTAGAAAACTTCCATCTTGGCGTCTAGTTTCGAAGACGCTGAAGATCACGATGAACAGAACAATTTTACCAGTTTTATGTCGCAGTGAACTTTGAAGGGAGAATGTAAACTAGAAGTGTTTGAAAACATAGTGCTGAGAAAGATATTTGAAATTTAAAAGGATCGAAGGAAGTGATGAATTTATAATTCAGCCCAAATTAGATTATAAAGCGTAATGGTACACAGAATTTTAAAATATTTAGAAACTAAAACAAACGTGTCAGGAAATAGACCGAAATGCTACCACCTAGTGGACTAATTTATTAATGAAATTTGGTGACATATATATCAAATTTCTTCTGGTTTTACGGGGAACCCTATTCATCCCAGCCACAGTCGTCCCTATCTCAAGCGTGTTTTATAGGGTGTAGCTGATTTTGGGACAGTATTGGTTTTAAACTTTTGTGTTTATTACTCAAAACGCTCATATGCTGAATTGTAACACCCTCGTTATCGTAATAGTCCAGTGACGTAAAGTGGAGGTCATGACGTCACATCATGTTCCACTTCGGGAACAGTTTTATACTATTTTATCTGTTTTTACAATCCGTGTCGTTATAATCCTAGTCGTTTTTCACACGGTATCCATAAGAGAACAGTGCTGTTTTGTTGGCCCCTGGCAATTATCCAAAATCAACTGAATTTGCGTAACTTAAGCTCTGTACGAATGGCATACTGCAACTTCGTGCTTTGTCCAAGAGTAAGGTGTAATCAGCAGTGTGTTCGCTCACCATTTTCACTGTAACTCTCGCATTATTCTTCAGTTGTTCTTTGAATGTGTGAGAAAGTTTGTGAGAACTTCGTTGCAGATGAAATTCGGGAAATTCTTGCTACCGTTTGGTTCAGGACAGTTCAGTCTAAGCGTTGCTTCGTATGGGCGCGGAACTTTGTCTTAACTGCAAGGGGAGATCTAGATTTATGTTCTTTCAGGACAGGGTTCGAGGGGAAATATTTGCATCTGGGAGAAAATGTGTAACAGATTATGATAATATGCTGTAGTGGGAACTTCAAAATTAATAATCGGTACCACTTATTAGGGTG